GATCATCGCGAATCTACGCTAGATTTTTTTTCGATTTAAAGAACACGTAGCATCACAGCTTATTCTGCACTGCATTTTTTGCTGCGGATCTAGGGTAAAAATGACAGGTCCTTGCACATGTTAAAAATCCCAGCGGACCAACTGTATTATTACCGTGGATCCACGGTGATTTTTTTACCGTGGATCTACAGAAAAAATGGCGAACCTGCGCCTGTTGAAAATCACCGTGGATCTACGGTAAAAATGGCGGACACTGCGCCTGTTGAGAATCACCGTGGATCCACGGTAATTTTTCACCTTGGATCTGCGGTAAAAATGGTGCACCCTGTGCCTGTTGGAAATCATTGTGGATCCACGGTAATTTTTCACTGTCGATCTACGGTAAAAATGGCGGACCCCGCGTCTGTTCGGAATCAACGTGGATCCACGGTAAAAGTTACCGTGGCGCGCGTGAATAGACACTGCCAAGAGCTACATGTTCTCACATTCAATCCAATAAATCGTACAGACGAATTAAACAGAAAATTGTCCACAATATTTGATCTGGAAAATTCCCAAAAAACCTAAAAAAAATATTAAACTCTCATTTGAAAAAATGTTGCTAGCTTGAAAAACGTACATGGATATCCTTAAAAGTGTTGATCACGAATCCCGGAAAAAACATCTCCGGACAAAATATCCCGGAAAAAATATTCCCGAAAAAAACATCCCCGAAGAAAATATCCTAGGAAAAAATATCCTAGGAAAAAATATCTCCAATAAAACTCTTAATTAGAAAACGTGGGTTATTAAAATATTAATTAAACAAATCAAACGAATCAAAGAATTTGTGAAATATTGTATCTATCGTTCTTCAAATATAGAGTTTAAAAATATTATTGTTTCATGCCCTAAAAACCAGTAACTGTCGAAAATTTAAACTGGCTTATTGTGCTCGTACCCTCTCGATTATTGAATTTTATTCCCTGTGAATTCAGGGTCTTCATTGAATCTATAATCGTTATGTAGAATCGTTTAATTTGCCTCAAGTTGATTGAGGACTCAACGACTCAATATCTAATATAACAACAGCTCGAAGATTATTGAGTTTGATGCTTTTCGTTGAATGATTCGGGGATTGGACGATACTACGAACAAGAAGATTATAGCGAAATCGAGAAAAATATTTGTGCAGAGATTTGGAATCAAATGAAGATAAGATATTTCTTCTGATATAAATGTGGTACATCATGTATGAAGAAAAACAATTTTTGTCCCAAAATAGTTTAGATTGACTGATTTGATTAATCTCCTCGCGTTACTTGGCGAGGAAAGACGAGATTTCAACATGAATCTTAGTATTAATAATCAAAATGCTCGTAATAATTATGAAGACAACAGACTGATTAGCAATACATTGAAATGAATGCAGTGAAAATTCTAAATAAATACTTTCAAAACAACTAATTCGATTTTTATAATTTATGCGGCATAAATCAAAATTTCATAAAATATTCAATTGAGTGTTTATTAGTTATTATTTACCGTCACGAAATGTCCCTCTGCGTTCTTACGGTGAGGGAAGATCAGTGAATTATTGAGATGAATAGGTGGATAAAATCGGTGATAATTTTTAGGCAAGCATTTGCGACCGGCTCTCTCACAAACTGATCAGAAACTATAAGAAAGAATTCTCGGATATTATTGAAAAGGCCGAAATTTATTTCTCAAGTCTACCTAGATTGAGTTCCTTGATGTTTACATGAAGGAATTAGCTGGTCAGATTGGGGAATGGGAAACAATAGAAATATCATAAATATACCACCTTGATCCTTTTTTCTGTCTCCGGTGTAACGATGGCTGAGGGAAATTATCATTCGTCGTGTTTATTAGCGATTATTATTATTGATTTATTATCATTATTATGATGGACAAGGGGGGAAGGGATACTTTCTGCGATCGATAATATCGTATATTTATGTGTTATCCTCACACAGAGAGAAAAATCCAATAATTATCCACAAAACATGCAAAATTGACGAGATGTTACGTAAAAATTCGCAAACATAATGATGGGTAAAATCCATGTTAGATTTTCCACTTTCCAGACACATCAGCCGACTTTTTCGTATTTTTGCAATTTCAGAAACGAAAATTTACTGAACGTTTCCAATTTTTCTCATATTTCTATAGA